GTTGGAGGTGGGGGTGGCTGAGACATGCTGAACCAAATTGGGAACGCTGTGTATGATGGGAACCACATCAAGTTAGCGTCTCTCTCAGCAGCTCTGGATCCAGCCGCTGGGCCTGCCCCCTTTTCCTGCTCCCTCTAACCTCAAAATAGCCCCCCCCCCCAAAGACTCCCATCTTCCTCCGCCCTGGGGCAAGTCTTCCCCACATTCATCGCCTTGCATGTTCCCTCCCCCTCCCCTTGCTCATTAGCACCTACTCCTCGCAGCCCCTCTGCTTCTACCCACTAGACCTTCCCCTATACAGTCCCACCGCTTCTCACTAGGGCCAGCCCTGTGCAGAGAGGGTCCAGAGAGCAAGCAGCTCTGTTGCTCTATGTCAGCAAAAAGGAGAAGTCCTGTGGCCCCGGAAAGACTGGCCGATTTATTTGGGAATAAGCATTTGTGGGTAAAAACCGCTTCAGTGAATGTAGGGAGCCCCTGTGGGTGTTTATCTCTGTCAAAGGGATTGGACTGGAGAAGATGCGGTTGTACTTTAGGGCTTGGCTGTAGACAATGGATCATGCCCTGTGCCATGGATGGAAGCTAGAGGCATGTAGATAAGAAGAGTGGTCAGTATAGGCTGGTGTTTAAGTGACCATCATTTATTTGTACCGTACTCCACGTGTTTGACAAAGTGATTTTTACCCCTGAACCACAGGTATCCCTTAATAGCTACTCCGTGTCTTAACAAGCCTCCTATTAGTTTCAAATTTTGGCTTCCCTGTAACTTTAAGGGTTAAGGGATGTCTCAAAATAGGGCATTAGTTCGAAATTTGGCACTGCCTAGATGCCTTGATGCACCACATTACAAAATAAGTAATTTGCACATCTTATTTTGAGTTTAGGGTGCTGTGAAGATGCACTTCCAAGTGCCTCGGGCACTAGTTGGGAGTGGTCCTGCTCATGGCAGGGGGCCGGACTCCATGACCTCCTGAGGTCTCTTCCAGCCCTATGATTCTATGATAAGAAAGGGGAAGGAGAGAAAACCGCTCCCCAAATGTTAGCCACACACTGCAAGATACTGTGGGGAACAGGCTTAGAGAGAACATGACTGGAGAAATTGTAACTGCCCAATGAGAAAGGTGAAGAATCTTGCACAGAGCAGCCAAAAGAGATTCTTATACAATCGGATGGTCCGTTTTGTCTGGTCTCACTTGACTCTCCGATATCCATGGCAGGCATGTTCTCTCACCCTGCTCAGTGCCTGCACAGGGAGGCCCTGCTCCCAACTGGCATTACAAGGTCAAGGAAAACGAGTCCCGCAGGCGATGGATGGATGAAAGGGGAATATTGTAGCTAGAGTGTGATGGGCCTTTTTGGTCGGTAACTCACTGGCTGTATTTCTCTCCCTTTGCCCCAGGAAAGAGGCCTAAATGGGGCTGGAGAACCGCACCCAGGTGACTCATTTCATCCTCTTAGGGATCCCCAACACTGAGGGCTTCGAGACCATCCTCTTCTTCACCTTCTTAGCCTTCTACCTCTGCACCCTGCTGGGCAACCTGCTCATCTTCTCAGCCGTCCTCGTTGACCCCCGCCTGCACACCCCCATGTACTTCTTCCTCTGCAACCTCGCCGTGCTGGACATGGGCATCTCTTCCCTCAGCGTCCCCAAATTGCTGGCCAGCCTCTGGTTCCAGGATAAGGTCATCTCGCTGGGCGGGTGCATGTCCCATGTCTTCACTGCTCACTTCCTGGGTAGCACGGAGTGCCTGCTGTACACCGTCATGGCCTTTGACCGGTACGTGGCCATCTGCCACCCTCTGCGCTACCTGCTCATCATGAACCGCCGGGTGTGCACCCTCCTGGCTGCCAGCAACTGGATCGCCAGCTCCTTTCACGCCACCATCATCACCACCCTGACCTTCACGCTGCCCTACTGCGGGTCCAACGTGATAGACTATTTCGTCTGTGACATCTTCACTGTGGCCAAGCTGGCCTGCGGGGACACGTACATCTTGGAGACCGTGGTCTTCACCAACACTGGGGTGGTGCCCATGAGCTGCTTCGTCCTCATCCTCGCCTCCTACGATCCTGTCCGGGACAGCGTCCTGCACCAGAGATCCAAGGGGACTGAACGGAACAGGGCAATTCTGCAGCGCTCCAGCTCTGTCTTCCACTCCTAGCTTCTGACAGCCAGGGGTTTAGGGAAGCCCCAAGCATTGGATAAAAGACATTGAAAGACTTGTCCATTAATTTGTGATCCATGGCCAATGGGAGCTGCAACAAGGAGGTGAAAGCGGCTCTGAGAAAACTGAGAGGGGGTCAGATGCCTGCACATTGATGTGCAGCAGATGCAGGAGTAGCATCTGAGTCTGTTGGCAAACTCACCTATAAATACATCGGCATGGGCCCTCGGTGACTGTTGTGACTCTCCCTTTACCCATCCCCACACAGCCCCATGTATCTCTCTGGAGCTCTATCTGCCATAGAAATGTTTCTACAATCCCGAGCTGTCTGCCTCGCTGTCAGGCTGACATTTTCAATGCTGCCCGAGGGACAGGCGCACTCAGTTTACACCAGAATGAATCGGAACTGGAGACACAAACTTTGCAGAGGTTTCTGAAAGTCTCAGCCTCATAGCACAGATCTGTCGAGGTCAAACTCTTTCCATCTATCATTATAAGGCAGGACTTACACTGCCAGGATTCTCATGGCTGCTGTGTGCATCCTCTCCGCCTACTGAGCACAGCGGAGCCGATGAGAAGCTGCGGCGGGGGAGGCGCTGTTGGAAGGGCGGGGAGTGACTGAGACATGCTGAACCAGACTGTGAATGCTGCGTAGGATGGGAATCGGATCAAGTTAGCGTCTCTCGCCCACTCGTGCACTGAGGGGGGCAGCCAGAGTCTTCCTGATGGTGTCTTTGCACTGACCCGAGAGGCAGCTTCCAAAGAGCCACAGGCCCAGACTTTGGTGCCTGGGAAAAGCAACCCGGGAATGGGAGGTCACAACGATTTTAAAATCCAGGCAGCTTCTGATGAGCAATGGGAACTTCTGATGCACAATGGGAAACTTCCATTGATCTCCAAGCTCTGGGCACTGAGTGGGCCTAGAAGCAAAAGCAGGGGCAGCTGGTGCTTATAGTGTTCAGTAATTGAAAACTATCAATTCAACACAGCGGCATTTGAGTAGCCCCTGGGAATTATTTGTGAAGCATTATGTTGTGACTAAGACAAAGGCTTGGAACACAGAAAATCTGGGTTCCGGTACAGGCTGCGTAGAGGAACTCCACTTGCTCTTGAGTTTGTCACTAAATTGCTTTAGGCCTCAGTTTCCCCATTTGTTATACATGGATAATTACAGCTTTTGTTATTCTCAGCTATCCGATGAGGAAGTGGGTCTGGCCCACGAAAGCTCATCATCTAATAAACCATCTTGTTAGTCTTTAAAGTGCTACATTGTCCTGCATTTTGCTTCAGCTACCCCAGACTAACACGGCTACATCTCTACCACTATAACACATTCAGGCAGCGACTGTCTCTATGTCCCTGTGCAGGGTGTTGCATAAACGGAGCCAGATCAGAGTTCCACACAAGAGGCCCTACCATAACACCCATGATAATAATAGTGATAATAAAAATAAAAATAGCATCATAGAATTCTAGAATGCTAGAACTGGAAGGGACCTCGAGAGGTCATCAAGTCCAGTCCCCTGCCCTCACAAGTGGGGCCAAGCACTGTCTATGACACAGACTCCTGCACTGGGTGATCTCATTTCCCACCCCTATATTCCCAGGGGTAGGGGGGTTGGACTATTCTGACCTAAATCCCATGAAATCAGAGGTGATATTTGTGACGGCACGTTGGGGTTTTCCCATTTCCTGCACCCCCGTAATGGCACAGAGAGACTCCACCAGCCAGTAGAATAGAGGGAGGTTATTGCTTCTCCACGATATAGCACAGCATAGACATGATGTGGACATAAGGAGTCAGGGGCTGGCAGCCCCGGCCCCCTCGGGCCTATTGCCTAGGCTGCTTCCTCCATGATACCAGCCAGAAACCTAACTGCCTCACTTCCCGCCCTGCTGCCAGCCAGAGCTCCACTCCCCTTCTCCCCTGCTCCCTGGGATATAACTGGTCAGACAGGTTCAAAGCCCCCTTGCATAATGACTCATCCCCTGCCCTGCTGGGCCGTGCTGCAGACAGCAGCCAGTGGGGGTCCCTCACAACCCAAGCTAGCAACCAGCAAGGTACCCCCACTACATCACAATATTTAAATGGCTTCCACCAATATTGACTCAGGTCCTGCATGTTTGGAGAGAGTGCTGCGCTATGAAGCCTTGGGCCAAGTGCCTCCAGACATGGGCTGCCAAAGCAGGAACAGAGAGAAGAGGGAGGAAGGGATTGCAGCAGAGAAGAGAGGACGGAAGAGAGGAAGGAAGACAGGAAGCTGCAGCCCTGCCAATGGCCTCTGGGATCCCTGTGAATCTTCCGCCTCATCTTCATCCTCCCCCTGCTCCTCTTGACGTTGAGGGATCCCCAAGATTTACCTGCTGAGTAGCCATCTGAAAAGGGGACCCCGCATCACCGGGTCCCAGAGAGATGAGGTGACAGAGCTTGTGTTGACGTGAATCGGGCCACACACGTGCCTGGGATGAGCCTGGGGCACCCAGAAGAACATCGCTGTGTTCCAACAGTATCTGGATTAGAACAATGTCTGCAGGGCAGGAATAATCAAATGCGGCCCTGCACGTGGCCCTCTAAGTTGCCCCCACACCCCCATACTTTGCTCCAACTCTACCAGAATGGGCAGGGTCACTCCCACCGGTTGGTAAACGTAAGGGCAGCGGGGGCTAACCCTGGTGAAAAACCGACTTCACATTGCTCAGCCTTGATGCAGGCTCATCTCTTTAGCACAACCAGTGTCACGGGGAAGCGTGTACGCCCCCTGCCACAGACTGGGCGCTGGAGCTTTCCCTCGATGCACACACTCGTGCAGACTGGCCAGACAAAGGGAGAGATTTACACTGGCACTTCTTTGTCCATGTGCATGGCCTGCCCGTTATGAGACACACTCGCTCATTGTGCTTTACACTCGGTCCTAGGGAGCTGCATCGGACGGCCCCATTCCACAGGCTGTGCAGCGCCTGCGTGGTGGGAACCTGAGGATGCACTGACTGACTGGAGCAATGAGTTGACTTCAGGTCCCTAAGGAGCATCTCATTGCCCTGAGGAGCGTAACCTCCCCACCCTTCTCCCTGGCCTTGGCGGAGCCTTTGGCAGGGGAATGGGGCAGCTG